GTAATTTACATTGTAACTATTTTAAAAATTATTAATAAAGATATGAGCAAGACCTCACCTTAACACCAAAAAAAAAAAAAAAAAAAAAAGAACTCTCCACTAATATTGAACTTGAAATTTCATATGAAAGTATATTTTCAGAACAATGCTCATCAAATAAAAATGTGCATAAAATACCAAATGAATGTTTAAATAATTCAACAAATGAAGACACACCAAATCAAAGAACTCAAGGCACTCAAGAATTACATTAGCCAATTCAGCAATTTAATAACATTTTAATTAATAATTTCAAAAAATCTTCTTAAACAAAAAAAGAATTGTGATATCAAAATCACCACCACAAATAATTTTGTTTTTAAAGTACATGCAGCAATTTTAAGTGCCTGGTCTTCTTATTTTTACAAAGTATTACAAGATAATATAAACCAACATGAAGTAGTCCTAGTAGATATTCTGGCCAAATGTTTCAAGACATTCTTAAGGTATATATTTTTTATTGTTTTTAATAAAAAAATTTCAATTAGTAATTTACATTTGGTCTTTTATAATAGGTATATATATACCAGAAACTTCTCATTGGATGATTATGAAGTTTCAGAAATATTGGAATTATATTTAGCTGCTACTAAATTTGATTTCGATAAAATCATTGATTATTTAAATGTGAAAATTGCATTTAATATTTAACATTTTATTTTTTACATTTCTGCTTATATTCTTTTGGACAATCGAAAAATTTGCTGATAATGATACCTCTTACATTTTTTGCTTATGTTCTTTTTGATATTCAAAAAAATTTGCTAATATTTCTGTATTTACGAATTTGCAAATAATAATTGATTAATAAATAAATTGCTTTTAAAACATTTCACATATGTATACAATCATTAATGATTTTAAAATAATGTTCTTGAGTATGTATTATTTTCGTGATCATGCGTATGTTAGATAAAATTTGTTTAGAAAAACAGTGTTAGCATATACTAAACAAAGGCTGCAGCTAAATTTTTGTAATCATGCGTATATTAGATAAAATTTGTTTAGGAAAACTTAGTGTTAGCATATATTAAACAAAGGCTGCAGCTAAATTTTAGAAAAACAGTGTTAGCATATATTATCTAAATTTGAGTAATTCTTAGTAAAAATGTGACCAAATTCAATATCTATACATATTAATTAAATAAATTTTTTTTTATCGATTTTTGGTCATGTTTTCATTGAGGAAACTTTTTAAGGTACGTGATCAGCTATCACATGGTAATTATTGTCTGGAGCGTAGCGGAAGATGATCTATGGTATAGTGATAGACCAGATTTTGTGTATAATCATGTCCGCACCTATTTTTAGATCAGATGATCATCAATTTATCTAATCTGTCTGTTTCTATTTTTAGCCCTAATAAATTTTTAGCTCCAGATATTTAACAGTGCCTGTTTTTCTAGTTAATTATTAATCAGAAGTAGATTAGAGAACATGACAGAAGTTCAATTTTATGCGCTGTAGTTACACAAACATTTATATATTGAAATCATATGATAGGAGACACGTCATATGATTACAAAAAAAAAATCAACCATTTTATTTGAAACTTTACTAGACTGTTCTTCGGGTTGTAAAGTAAGTAGATTGTATAAATCCATCTTACTAATCTAATGATCTAACAACTTTTATATAGCGAGAGTTTTCATAATAAAATTGATTATACTTAGTTTTTTTTTTTTTAAAAAATTTTTTTTTTTTTTAAATATTTTACGAAGCCAGAAAAGAATTTATAGCTAGTTCAAATATTCTATGTATTTACCAGTATTTTATTTGTTCAATTTGTGCCACCAGACTCACTGAAATATCTATTGTCTCTACCTTCCCAGAATTCTCTTCCACAGTTTCTACATCATTTTCATCGTCGTCATCAATGTCCTTCTCAGTAAGTGTATCAGCTCCCTTTTCAATCCGCTCTAAAACCTTTTTAACATTCTTAAAAATCCCCTTCTTATAAAATTCCTCACAATGAATGTATTTTCCATGATAGCAATTTGAATAGTAGCCATGGTCACAAATAAATACTGAGCCATTATTACCAGTGAACGGAAGTCTGCAGTTATCGCATAATTCAGGATGTGGGGGATGTGCTGTGCTGTAGCCAGTTGGTAGATGTCGTAAATCCACGTCCTCATTTAAGATAGCAAGGTGGTATATTTTTGGTAATTTTTTTTCTCTTTTATTAAACTTTGGGTCACTTTTTTTACTGTTGTTAGATTTTGGGTTACTTTTTGTTAATTTATTAATGTAAAAA